GAAGGAGTTTACAAGAATGACGAACTGTGCGATGCTCAGTTGAAATGGCAGAAAAAAACGACCAAAGCTGAAAAACCATCGCCAAAGTTGGAACAGCACACACAGATTCTTTAAACATTGTGTTCTTATCCTCATCATATCAAGGAACTTTGCGAAGGTGCTTACTCTATCCATAAGGATACGAATTGGTGGAAAAATGGATTCAGAAGGATCAAAAGGACTTCATAAAAGCTTACTTTAGCATATTTTCCAATGGTGATCCGATCAAAACATCCTTAACATAGATAGGGGCAGGAATAGCGCTTCTGTCTTCTGTTCTTCCTCCACTGAGTACAATGCCCAGATTGGGTTTTGGGTACGGCTGCAGAACAACTTTTGCAGAGATTCCACTTAATACTTCAACTTCGCTTACCAGGGCCACCTCGATTGTGTGCGTATTCCACAGATCAGTAATCGGTTCCTTTTCACATTCGAGCTCCTTCAACCGATGCAAAGCGTCATCACGTTCAGCATCGGCAGCTCGAGCTTCTCTTATCGCTGCGTCTCGTTCTTCGGAAAGTCTTGAGCACTCCATTCTCAGTTTTTCTAGTTTCTCAAGTGCTTCTGTTCGTTTTTCATTTGCTGACGCTGTTTCCTCTATGTTCACTAAAAACGAATTCACGTCTTCTCTCTCATCTGCACGTCTGCTTGTTTGTTAGTTCATTCGCCAGTTTAACTATAGCGTAGAATAATAACGGATAACTCAATGACCTCTAACTTTGGTAGTGCCCCGATACGTACTTGCACATACATTGATGCTATACTAATTGTAGCAGTAGCTTCTAAAAACTAACAAATTCAACCTGCACCCCCATTTTGAACAGAGGATTACTTTTCCATTTCCTATATACTGCATAACAGCTTACCTCTACATGTGCGCTAAGGTATATTTACTGTTTTTGACACTTTATTTGAAACATATAAATCCACATTTATACATTTTCAACTTCTCAAAAATGTGATCAGTGTTTGATCCATATATGTATAATGCACAAAGTTTGCGAGTGCGTGTGTGGATTTGAATGTTTCCATATTTGTTTTCAAACCACATACACACTTTGAGTAACTAAGGAACTTATTTGGAAAGGCATCGATTGATTTTATCGTTTTTTTTTT